TTAAGAAGCGATTAGAAATCAATGAACCCCCATGGATTTTCAATATATTCCTTTCAGAATAAATTAAAAAACAATGAATTTTCACAATTTTCCTTTAAACATCGATTGAAAATCAATGAAAACCATTGGACGAAGTTCAAATATACCCCGCTGAGACCCCCCAAGACCCCAACCCCCAACTGGAAATAACATAATCGCAACGAAATTTATCGGTTTCAGATTTTTGTTCTTTCCCTGGGACGTCGCCCCGAATTCAATATTTTCGAAGTGTGAGCAGTTAAGAAAAAATCTAAAATGAAATCTGAAAATCAGAAAAGGCAAAAAAAATGCGAGGGCTATCGCGGGGCCTCTTGGGCCATTGGGGCGGTTGAAAAAAAATGATACCATCTACCCTTACACCAATGGATTTTCACAATTTTCCTTTAAAAAATCAGTATTATCCTTTAAAAATCGATTAAGAATCATTTGATGGATTTTCACTAGTTTCCTTTGAAAATCGATTTAAAATCAAAGAAACCAATGAATTTTCACAATCCCTATAAACATCGATTGAAAATCAATGAAAATCCCTATAAACATCGATTGAAAATCAATGAAAACCATTGGACGAAACCATTGAAATTGTGATATTATGTTTCCCCTCAAGTCCAATTTTTCGGTATAGATCATTTTCGTGTCAACAACAATTCAAAACTTGTTGTTTTTTGGTTTAAAATCGATTTTTACATCAGTTCACTTCCACTTTATCATCCCAAACATCATCTATATGCTAACAGTATCCACCTGAAAAACAATCACAATAAACAAACACAATCACCCAAACACTTTGCATTTATATACACATCATTGTCCAAACACTCTCCACTTATATGCAAACATCATCATTCAAATGTATTCTCATGCTTCATCCACATCATCATCCCAAACATCGTCCAAAATACCACCCACTTAAAAGCAAACAGCATCATCCAAACATAGTTCTTTCATGATGCAGAGTACACAGTTAGAATGAGGGACAATTACACTGTTATTTTCCAAAACGTCATTTCCATCGTTCGGTCCGGTGGCGTAGAAGGAGCCTGAGAAAGATCCATCATTATAATTGTAAGTTTTGAAACAGTATTCTTGCTCAATATATTATTTCACAAACAATAGTTTCAGTGACTCAAAATGTGCGGTAACATTTCTTTCTGGTAATATTCAAAGCCGCTAGCAGTGATGAACATGGGTTTGCAGGGGGCGGGATTCAGTGGAAACTAACCTTCAAGAGCTGGTGTATGAAGCGACATGGACTTGGACTGAGAGGAGGGGAGTAGAGACAGGTTGGAATCGAGGAAGTAAATCGGTGGACGAAGCGGCCAGAGAGGACAGAGAAGACTTGGATAGATTTATGGATGGGCTGGGATGACAGAACACATTTGACACAGGTGCCTTTGGAATCACAAAATTATGAACAAGATGGGGAAATGCATGAAACGGCGGGCTGGAGGATGTTTGGGTGATGGATGGACTTGTGTTTAGAGAAAGTGTGGTTTCAGGTTGATGATAGGACTTAATGGATGGACCGGTATGGGCAGACACAAGGGTTGCTGTGGTTTGGGAGATAGAAGGAAAAGGGGCAGGGACGGGTTGGCAACAATAGTGAAATTGTAGAAACGATCAGGTTGTGAAATGATGTGGCATGACTGGCATCAATTGAGCAAAGTGTTGCTATGTCAAAGAATGGGTGCAGAGGGCCGGGCAAGATAGATAGACTGGAGTTGATTCGGGGAACATGTGAATTGATGACAACATTACATTGGATTGACCATATGGGTTTCGCATGGTGGATAGGTTAATGGTTAGACGGTGGACTGGCATGGATAGGTTGCAGGGGTAGGTTTGGATTGGAGGAATTCTAAGAGGGCTGGGATGGATAAAGTCTTTACGTTCATACTCAAACAAGGATGGGTTCGGAGGTTTAAGTTGAGGAAGGAGTGGAACTGACTGAACGTATGGGTTTATAAACGGTTTGGGGGTTGACCTATGGACGCACTGGGTTATATTGACTTGGAGGGACCTGAACAGAACACGGAGGGGGATGGATTGATATGAATGCTTTTTTTTCCAACTGATAGCGGAAGGGGGATGCATCATGAGGGCTGGGTTGCAGGATGGATGGGCTGGAGTCAATTAAACAAATGGGTTGGTGCATGCAGTGGGTTGGGCTGAGAGGATTTGATTGATACAGGGAACTAGGCTAGACTAGACTAAGGTGATGGGATGAGGGATGGACTGGACCAGGTTCCCGAGGATGGATTGAAGGATGGACTGGACAGGACTCCAGGGCATAGATTGAAGGATAGAGTAAGACAAAGGTCATTAAAGGAAGCCTTGTTCATCACTGCTTTAAATTACAATATACCTTCACAAAATATCTTCGTGCACCTGTGCGGCGCAACCATGCACCTGTGCGGCGCAAACGCTACCTTGTGGCAGTGCTATTGTATAAAAATGGGGCAAACATATATATATATATAGTATATATATATAAATTATATTTATATATATCTATACTTATATGTATATATATATATACATATAAATATATATATATATATTTACATTATTGCAGGAAGCGCCGGAACCCAGCCGCTGCTAAGAAACCAAACGCCAGAAACCAGACGTCGGAAGGCACCGGACGCCTGAAATCCTTGAGTCTGAGAGAACGGACGTGCATGTCACGAATGCATGAGTTCAACATTTTGAAACGTTACAGTTACTTAGATCCATGAAACCATAAACCCATAAGAACATCATATTAGAATGGACAACCCAAATTTGAAACATTACAATTACTTACCCATAAGATCATACTGTTAACATGGACAACCCAAATGAAAAACCCATTTACAAATGAAACTCCCAAATGCCATGGCACTGGCTTATATAGATATAGATATAGATATACATATACATATACAATCATATTATCCCCATATTTACCCTGTTTTGCCCTCCAAGAAATATCAAAATAATGCACGAGAATCTATCTACCAATCCCCATCAGAATCGAGCAAATATCAATTCAATGTCAATTCAATATCAATCAATGTCAATCAATATGAAACAATATCAAATCAATATCAATTCAATCTCAATCAATATCAATCAATATGAATCAATATCAATTCAATATGATTTTATATCAATTCAATATCAATCAATATCAGTTCAATATCAAATATATATATAACAGTCAATATGAATCCATATCAATTCAATATCAATTTAATATCAATCATCATGAATCAATATCAATTCAAAATCAATCAATATGAATCGATATCAATTCAATATCAATCAATATCAATCAATATGAATCAATATAAATTCAATATCAATGATTTATCAATTCAATATCAATCAATATCAATCAATATCAATTCAATATCAAATCAATATGAATCAATATCAATTCAATATAAATTCAATATCAATCAATATCAACCAATATAAATCAATATCAATGAAATATCAATCAATATGAATCAATATCAATTCAATATGAATCAATATCAACTCAATATCAATAAATATCAATCAATATCAAGCAATATGAATTAATATCAATTCAATATCAATCAATATCAATTCAATATCAATCAATATCAATCAATATGAATCAGCATAAATCAATATCAATTCAATATTAATCAATATCAATCAATATAAATCAATATCAATCAGTAGGAATCAATATCAATGAAATATTAATCAATATGATTCAACATCAATCAGTATGAATCAATATTAATCAATATATAAATCAATATCAATCAATATCAGTTCAATATCATATATATATATCAGTATGAATCAACATCAATTCAATATCAATTTAATATCAATCAATGATAATACCAATTCAATATCAATTCAATATTCATATGAAATATCAATCAATATCAATCTATATCCATCAATATCAATCAATATCAATTCAATATCAATTCAATATCAATGAAATATGAATCAAAATGAATCAATATCAATTCAATATCAATTCAATATTAATCATTATGAATCAATATCAATTCAATATCAATTCAATATCAATCAGTAGGAATCAATATCAATGAAATATTAATCAATATGAATCAATATCAATTCAATATCAATTCAATATCAATCATTATGAATCAATATCAATTCAATATCAATTCAATATCAATTCAATATCAATCAGTAGGAATCAATATCAATGAAATATCAATCAATATGAATCAATATCAATTCAATATCAATTCAATATCAATGAAATATTAATCAATATGAACCAATATCAATTCAATATCAAGGAAATATCAATCAATATGAATCAATATCAATTCAATATCAATTCAATATCAATGAAATATCAATCAATATGAATCAATATCATTTCAATATCAATTCAATATCAATTCAATATCAATGAAATATTAATCAATATGAATCAATATCAATTCAATATCAATTCAATATCAATCATTATGAATCAATATCGGTTCAAAATGAATCAATATCAATCAGTAGGAATCAATATCAATGAAATATCAATCAATATGAATCAATATCAATTCAATATCAATTCAATATCAATGAAATATCAACCAATATGAATCAATATCAATTCAATATCAATTCAATATCAATCATTATGAATCAATATCGATTCAAAATGAATCAATATCAATCAGTAGGAATCAATATCAATGAAATATCAATCAATATAAATCAATATCAATTCAATACCAATTCAATATCAATGAAATATCAATCAATATGAATCAATATCAATTCAATATCAATGAAATATCAATTCAATATCAATGAAATATTAATCAATATGAATCAATATCAATTCAATATCAATTCAATATCAATGAAATGTCAATCAATATAAATCAATATCAATTCAATATCAATTCAATATCAATGAAATATCAATCAATATGAATCAATATTAAGCAAGCAACTCCACTGGCCATAGGTCACCTCCAGATTTTGCACTCTCCACAGGGTGTCGAATAAGGCAGGCCTCTGGGCCCAATCACCGCCGCTGACTGCGTGGAAGACTTCCACCACGTCGTACAAGTAGTCGTTGCCGTTCTGAAACCAGGGAGGCTACCGCGTTGGCCACCCGTGGTTAACCATAGATGATCATAGATGAGTCTTGAATACCTTGAATCAGTTAACTCTTTTTCATAGATTTAAGAAAACAGAAAATCATGGTCTCAGGGTTTTTTCCCGATGCTTACTATAACTATAACTGGATTTCCCCAACTCGCTGAATAACTCGCTGAATGCTAAATTCTATCAATGTGGCATCACCATTCTGATGTCGAGGCGATGGCTGATGGAGATTGTCAAACATGAGAATTGGAAATCCCCTCTGGAGGTTTCTAGCTGGGAAACGCAACTATACTATACAGATACATGGTGGATTTTCCAGCAAGCCATGCTTGATTAGCGGATCCTTGGGGCAGTTCCAGTGAACTATTGCTTGACCACAGTCATAGTAAGTCATAGCAAGTCATAGTTGTAGGGACCCCACGTGGCCCAGGTGGGTCATGATGATCTCCAGACAACTTGGAAGCAGTATGACACGAGGTTGATAGTGGAAGATGTTGCTGTTAACGCTGGCAACCACGAATCACGACGAGTTTCTGCACCCACTATAGTCGATCAAAATTGGGATCAATAACTGCATCAATGTGAAAGTAACCACCCATATTAGTTGATGGTATATAGCACCCATGAAAATGGTAAATCATTGGGGATGGTTGTATAAACGTTGATCATCGGAGCATCCAGCCGCTTGGTGAGACAGGATCGACCTGCGCAACCTGCGCTGTGCTGTCCGAGCATCGGGGTAGCCTCTGACGATGCCAATGTCGTTGCACTTGTGTCGCGGGTCGGAACTTTGCCAGATGCGAAAGCATTTAATGGTAATGGCCTGGAAATGCTGTGGGAATCACACTTCAAGGAAATTAGCATCCCACACAGAAACAAGTATGGGAAAGCGAGTAAAAATGTGAAACTCATTGTACATCATCATACCGAGTATCTGGATAATTTGGAGGTTTGGGTTTCCCTTTCTTTTCGGGTCATTTGACTTTATCCTTGCAGCTCAGTTGGGACTCACTTTGGGTCCCCTGTTTCGACCGCTCAAAGTGTGCGGAGCTAACTGCTTACAACTGGACATTCACCGAAAAATGGATGAAGTGATTATCTGGTTGGTGGTATACCTACCCCTCTGAAAAATATGACTTCGTCAGTTGGGATGATGAAATTCCCAACTGAATGGGAAAATAAAAAATGTTCCAAACCACCAACCAGATATTGATTGATGAGATTGCCTATACTGTAACCATTTTTGCAGCGTCATCCCATTGAAAATTGAAGATCGTTAGTGCCATGTCACCAGATATTTCGTCGGATCTCCCCATTTACCGCTTTGGGGGGTCTTAAAAACACCACAGCGCCCCTCAAAAAATAGGGATTGAAATGGCGGTAAGAGCCTCCCACATCAAATCCCCATTCCCAAACCAGCGCTTCATGATAATTCTTCCAGAATTTACATAAATTGGTGGTTAATCAATCTTAATCATAGCCCATTCTTTCACAAACCCATATCCATCATGAATTGGAAAATTCCCTATGTTTGATGATGCAAATCGCCAGAAGTTCGTTGGTGAAATACAACTCCTTGCCAGATTACTTACCCTCCAGTAAACTAACAGAACTATGGAAAATCAGCATTTTTATAGGTAAATCATCTACAAATGGTCCATTTTCCATGTTAAATTACCGGAGGGTAGGGTATATGCTGGCAAACGTGACTCTCTTGGATCTCCAACGTCCACTCCAAAGGTCCAGTCCCTTTTGCATCATCTGAAGTCCAACAGGCTTCGTTCGCAAGAACACACATTTGCAGATTAAGCAATCCATTCCATGTATTCCATTGACATCAAGTACTACCACCCATTCTACCACCATTCTATCCATGTCCCCAAATTTCGATCCCCAGGTGAAGTCCCAGGTGAACCCCCATTCTATCCCCATATCTGGGTGTTTTGTTCCAATCCCAGGTGCATCAAAGAGAGGCCCCGTGATATTCCATAAGGCATCCTTTCGTGCCACGGCTGCCGTGTAGCCTGCCTAGGTAACGTTGCTGTTGAAGGGTTAGGAACCACAGAAAAACATGTATGTATATATATATAGAGATTGGTGTGTCTGAAACTGGGGGGTTGTATAACCCCCAAATAGCCGTTTACTAGGGCCTAGTTCCTAGGGAAAATGATGATTACTGTAATCATTGCGTTTTGGTGGTACCCTATTTTCACACAAACCATATATTTCATGACTTTTGTCATGGAACAGTATATATATATATATCTCTTAGATTATGTCAGTGTGTGATAATTCACAAACCAGCCATGGGACATCACGGGCCTCAAAAGGGATAGATCTACAGTAATAGATCTCCCAAAGCTTCTAGATGGATGTTCACTGGGAGTCCTTAGCCACATCCATTCATTCCAGGATCATCCAAGCTCCCCAAATCAGGATTCTCCCAACCCCTCACCGTCTGATCGAGCCCAACAGACACACAAGGTCCCTCCCGCTATGTTTGTTGGTTGATAACATCATCAACTATAACTTAGTGAGTCCGACCTGGGGCACCTCCCCATAGTTAATGGTTGTACCATGTTATACCAGGAATTCTTCCCCGAAATGTCCCAACTCATCCCTGTTCTCCCATTTTGATAGTTCAAAACCTCAATTGTCCCACATAGATTTACCATGTTTTACCCCTGAAACTGGCCCCTTAAATGCTGGATTCATCCCCCCAGATGCACCAGCTGCAGCCAGGAGGCCAGGCCCGTAATATCGGCCCCAACGCTCACTGTGCGCGCCGGACAGCCGCCCAGTGAGACCCGACAGTCGGCTGTCCAGTTGGTGTACTCTGCGCCGTCAAAGACGTACTGACCGTTGGTAAAGAGCTCGGTCTCCCGGTGGGTCCCGGTGTCATAGACTTCCTGTTGAATGGAGAAGTGGCAAATAGAAAATGGCAAGAGTGGGAAAGGTGGAGTTGAGAAATCTTATTTAAAGCATAAAAAAATGCATCGTGGGGATTCAGCCATAAGAAAGTGGATTTTAAGCAATGAAGAATCAAAATGGGTGTGTCCAAAACGGTGATATCCCAATATCCCAATTCATGGCGATTCTATTGGGGAAAAATCGGACATGGCCCCGCATGGGGATAAGGATCCAATGAAGAAAGATGGAGCCAGGAATTTGCGAAGTGGAGACGTGGAGAACATTTTACCATCTGGTTATTTAACATAGCCATGGAAAATCAGCATTTTTAATGGGTAAACCATCTATAAATGGGCCATTTTCCATGGCTATGTTAAATAACCAGAGGGTATATCATATATTTCTATATATTTCTTATACATACAATGTGAGGCCCCCGTTCGATCGCTAAGTTGGTGAACATAACTCCAATTTCACTATGGTTTATGGTATTTATAACTATAGTTACTGGGGCTTATAAAACAACAAACATATCTTGGGGGCCTCACATTGTAAGATATTATTGCCCATATACCAAGCCTCATTGGATGTAAGTCCCAGCTAAACAGCAACCAATATAACTCATTCACATATAACTGTGTGTCAAAACCTTGTACCCCTGTAGTTCACATCAAAATAGCTGGGATTTATGGATGTTCATCCCCCTAAAAATGGTATTAATAGGTATTGATCCATACCCATATTACTGTGATCAAGTGGGTCTATCCAACAAGACGACTTGATCATGGACAGGTGGGTGATGACAGGCCCACCATTGGTCACTTTCGGTTTAGGAATCAGCTCCAGCTGCAACAGTCCCCAGCACTTCGTCGATGCCATTTAGATTCCCGTTGACAAAGGGAATTGTCCACCCATGTTTGCAAACATCGACATTCAAAATGGCCAAACATTACCACAAGTACATGTTTGATTGGTATTTTTTTTGTAATACGTCATTTCCACCGGAGGCTAATCAATGGCAAAGTCCAAAAAATCAGACATCCCGCCCAAACACAGCACTTGTTCGTTCACCACCAATGCTTAAAAATCCCAGCGTCAGTGAAGAAAGGAGTGAGCTGTGATTCCTTCTGACACTCCACGTCAAAGAACAAACGCAACTCGAAAATGACCTGGGGCACTGGGGCAAACGCCACGCTCCAACAGGTACATCCGGGAAATCACTGAACTATTGTGGTGTATCTCCCGTAATAACATGGATTTGCATTGGAAAACCCCTCTGAAAAATATGAGTTCGTCAGTTGGAGTTATGAAAATCCCAATAGAGGGAAAAATAAAAAACGTTCCAAACCACCAACCAGATAAGGGCTGTGCTATGCTATGCTGTACTGTAGTACTATATCACATCAGGAAGCCATATTCTCACACCCCTCCTTAATTTGATTCACCAATTGCACAAACGATATATATCTCGATATACCCTCCTAGCAATTGAACATCACCCCATTTATAGATGCTTTTCCTATTTAAACGGAGGTTTCTAGGAGATTTCCGGCCGGATTTCCCATTGCCACGTGTGAGCAAAAACAAATGAGGGCCCGTTGAATTTCTCAGATTCAGAGACGCGTCAAGTCATCCCAAAAATCAATATAATATAACTTAACTAAATAAATCATCCCCAAAATCTAAGAATATAAGTCATATGACTGAACAAATCCTTTAATTTGAAGATATTTTAGGGAAAACCCAATTATAGAAAGGATATCTTTGAAGTCGAGAAAGCGCCAGGTCAGTTTTTTCAGACCCAGAGTCCCGGAGTCTGATCACAAATGTTGCGCAACATTCTGAGGATCGCATATGGACTGGTTGGTGGTTGACCTACCCCTCTGAAAAATATTAGTCTGTTGGGGTTATTATTCCCAATATATGGAAACATAAAAAATGTTCCAAACCACCAACCAGATATGGATGATTGGAATTCTGCAAATTGGGTGTACACCCAATTTATGCCGAGTTCCATAGAGAAAGTCTATGGATCAACCACAGAATTCAAAGCTACCCTAGACATCTCTAGACGCTAAGTTCAGGTCCAAACCATGACATCCCAGCAGTCCCGCGATGACGCCAAGTGACCCAAGGTCCTGCCGTGGGGGAATCATTGATGACGCCTGCGCGCGAGGGAACCTCCCGCGGCACCTGCGGAATGAATCCCTGGCCCAGCACCAAGCAGATCTGAGAGCCCAGGAAACAGAGAGCGGTGACCCATGCCATGGCACGTCACGGCATGAGAATAGCGGAATAGCGGAGCCCAGGGGGTGTTGATGATGGTAACACCCCCCGGAGAAAATCTGATGCTGGTCTTGGCAGGCTCCAAGCTCTGGCACCTAGTGCGGACTACTTTACATTGGTTGTAAGATGGTTTGAACCCCTCTGAAAAATATTAGTCAGTTGGGATGATGAAATTCCCAATATATGGAAAAATAAAAAATGTTCCAAACCACCAACCAGATTGGTTGTAAGATTCTATTCTCTTTGAACATGACATGGTTTCATGACTTTTTCATGGCACGCATCAAGAATTCTGGACCAACAACGTTCGAGGTTCCAGTGAAGAGTCATGCGGCCTTGCCATCCGAAACCGAACCATTGAAAGCTTCTAGCGGTTCTTCCAAACCATGTTCTTAACACCGATCTCTACAGCCAAAAACACGTGCGGCGGCACCGGATTCGGAGCAAACATGCTGTCTGTAGCTTTCGAGAGGTGCGATCCGTTGCGGTCCCTTGTATGGAGTGGCCGCTGGTAAGAAATGTATTCCAAACATATTCCATAGATGTGCCTGTTTCTATCTACCAAATCCCTGTTGCATACCCAACCAATATCCCTGACACACCCTGCCTCATAGAAGGGCCAAAACCCGTCAAAACCCTACATCTCTCTCGAAAATCACGGCCTTTGGGATCCTAAAATTCAAATTTCGTATGTTTTGATTATTTATGGAGATTGTAGTACTTTAAGACCCATGTAGTACGATTTCTAGAGATGGCAAGGTGCATCAAATGGATGGGAACTACCTGTTTCTACGTATATGTCTACCCTTTCTAGATGGCCCGCAGGAATTTGGGCCTCACCAAAATTCGCTTCTCTCACCCTGCATTCTCTTTGGATCTCACCAAACTGTCACTGTGCTGTGAAACCTGGACCTGGAGCTTGGCACCATCTGGGCATATGCCCAGCACATGCTGCCCTAATGGTTGGATGGCACATTCAAATGCTTTTGCAAGGTGGATCTTAGGCCCTGCGGTCAGTACCCAACCATCCTTTTTTTTGATCTTGACCCACACAGATGGCCAATCTCAAAGAATTACTATGCAAATCCATGCAAAAGATATTTCATGTTCTCGGGTTGGAAAATATTCCATTTAATTTGTGGCAAGAGATGAAAATAAGCTACCCCTGGAGTCAGTCTCTCCCCACACGTCTGTTAAGGTCAGTCATGAAAAAAAAACTACTTAGGGGATCCGAGCAGTCCCATAAAGTATACACCCGATGGGGATCCAATATGGTTGAGAATGTGTCTGCGACTTGTTATGACCTGCAATCAAATCTCTCCAGAATTCTGGGAATTGGCAAGGTTGAATCCGCTCCCAGAGTTTTTGTGCAAATTTGTTTTGAGTGTGTTTTCGCCTTTTTTGGTAACAACATAATACAGTATGATTTTTTTGCGACCGAAACATGCGCGCAAACACGGCGCAAAACCCCGGAAACAGGGCGCAAAACCCGCAAAAAACTCAAATCTCTGCCTTGAGACAACCTTGAGGGGTGTGGCCAAACAGCAAAAATCAGTAGGAAATTGCAAAAAATTGCATTCGATTAAAGTTCAAAATAAACTTCTGAAGATTCTGAAGGTTACTATTAAATGATATTCTTGAAAATTAGCAGGATGAAGACCACATATAGGTCACATAGGCCGTATCTCGGGATTGATTAGATAGATCTTGTCACCCTCTTTTGTGCTCAACGCGCACGATGCAGAAATTTCTGCATTTGTACATGCAACAAATGAAGAAGTTACAGTGACTTGGGAATAGGTCGCGGCGGAAAACATTAGGACCATTAGGATGCTGTAGAAAAACTCTAAACAAGGCAAAACGACCCCAAAAACTCGAGGCAAAAAGACAAAACGACACAAATATTCGGCTTTGTCAAGAGGCATCCTCTGAATTCATATAATTAATCCTGAAAATGGTTAAACATGTGATGTGATACCAGAGTTCTTTGCCTTGTTTGGACAGTTAGACTCCAACCCTGTCAGGCCAACGGTTGGTCGGCTCAGTTGGTTAATTCGATGAATTTCTCCAAGTCCTTCACAGAGGGGAAACGGGATAAGTTGCATCTCCAAAAACAAAATGGATGAAGTTTACCCATTGTTTTAATGGGATAATGGGAAAATGCTGATTACCCAATGGTTACAGTAATAAAATAACATTCATTACGGTAACCATATGAACCACCCCGGTGCGTGACGGAGAAGGGGAGCCTTCTCCAGATCATCTCAACACCCCAAAAAACAGGTGCGGTTCATAGAAGCCTAGCAAGACGATGTGGATTTACCCATTGAAATGGTGATTTTCCATAGGTATGTTAGTTTACCAGAGGGTATATTATTTTTTCCCATTACGATTCCCATTTACACAGGATATCCCAGCAGCCATGAATGATTACCGAGGGCTTACACCCTTTTAAGAGATGTTTCCTGCAATGTGAGGCCCCCGCTCGATAGCTAAGTCGGTGACATAACTCACATTTCACTATGGTTTATGGTATTTATAACGAACTAGTTACTGGGGCGAATCTAAACCAACTTATTCTCCATGTATGGTATATTTGCCTACATTTCAGTGATTTTTAAGGTAAATGTTGGTAAATATTCCAGCACCATGGAGCATTTGGGTATATAATAAGAAAGATATTGCATACCTATCCCGCACATCCCTGAACTGTCCATGTACCCCAATTTTCACACCCATTTGCCAACCCCTGAAGTGTCACAGGTACTCCAACCAGATTTTGGATAGGAGAAAATATGTTGGGAACCACAGAGATTGGATGAGATTGGTGAAGTTGGTAGTTTTAAAAAAAGATTCCCTTATAGCAACCCTCGAAAAAAATCAGAACAGTTAAATCCGACTCAAATTCAGCGGTGAAGCGATGTAAACCAATGTAAACCATGATAACATGTGTAGAATGATGCAAAATCACGTATAAGGTAACTAGATATGTTAAAATCTATTAAAACAATGTATATATATAGATATATATAATATGACAAGTGTGTATCTTAATCACTTAAAATATGTTAAAATATCTGTAAGATCTGAAGCCGAAACTATCTCTTTGGCTTATTTTGTAAAAAAAACAAACACGAAATCCACAAACCAAAGAGCCCTTTTCCGCCCAGGCCTTGACGTCGCGCGTGATGCCGTTCCTGCGCTGGTCCCCATGGGACGTTGCGATAAGTTGCGATCAGTTGCAACGTTGCGCCCTAGGGCGCTGTGTGTGTTTCTTGTGTTTCTTATTTCCTATGTTCTAAAGGTGGGTTTTTCTTGGGGTATGGTCCCATGATGTCCCATGAATGGCATGATTTTCATAGATTTTCTGTATAAGTTGCCGATGTTTTCTTTGGGGATGACGGGATTTCCATCCCCATCCCCTGATTCGACGATTCGGCACGGATCACGGCGAGTGCACCTCAAGTCCATTCTCCGCTTCTGCAACGAATTCATCTTGGCGATGTCACGGTGGCCTGGGGTTAAAACAGCGGCAAAGTGGCTGGAGTTTTTGGCCCAAAGCCCCAAAGCCCCAAAGCCCAGGGAAAACAATGCCATTCATAAACCACCCTTAAATTCCTGGGAATGGTTTATACCACCATATACCACCTATATATAAAAATGGTGATGACTGGGGGATGGTTTATGGTTTATGGATGTTTATGGCATCGCCCACTTTTCCACATGACTGGATTGGGAATCGTTTCGTACTTCAATTGATATTGTTTCGAGTGGAACGTTTCGTGAACCAGGAGAAGACATCAACGACGAGGTATCCTATGTGATTTTTATGTTTTCTGTAACGGTACAACCATTTGCTAATATAACAAGTTACCCCAAAAATGACCCATTTTTATGTGAGATATGTTATTACAAATGACCTAGTAACCAAGAATACCAGAACAACGGGAATATATGAATGATCAAGTCAGTGAGTTCCCTATTGATATTCGAAAGGATCATGATTTCCAGTGAGATGAGAATTTCGGGATCCCACTCCACGGACTGTTTCACAGTGGAATTGGAGGTATATTTTACACATCAGCAAAGTGGCAAACCATGGGAAACCCAAGTTTTCTTCTTATATAATTGAATCAAAAATGGCAAAAAATGCAACATTCACATACATTCACTTTGGAATCTTCAAGAACTGGTGGCTATTGGTGGGTTTTAACTTTTAACTACCAAAATCAACTACTACCGCTACATTTTGCCCGACCAAAACCAGGGTTTTCTTAAGTGGAACAGGGTCCTCAACCACAACTGCCGCTTGAACCGGGTTCCCCCAACGCCACACGGGAGGCCCTCGTTCCATCTTGGTCAGCGTCTGGCCGGGTGTTTAGCAGGCTGATTTCAGGGTTTTCACAAAAGGACGTGGTAATCAACCTGAAATGGATTTTGAGGGGAATGATTTTGAGGCTCAAAGGGGAACGATTTATATAATCATTTTTCAGAGATTTTGAAAAGGTGTTGGTTTTCTCAACATTTTCAGGGATCTTCAAAATCTCAGGGCTTTTGTCGTGCTTTGTATGGCTTTCAATAAGAAAGCACAAGGAAATCCCCAATCGATTTTGCACCAGTACACATGTGTTTTCAACAGCCAAGAACTGACATAGATTCTATTTTTGCTGAAAGGGTACACATTTGGTCTTTCATAATTTCAAATATCTAACAAGCCTGAAACACTGGATTCAGCAACGAGGCCGGCTCTTGCAATTCGGAATGGTAGTATGTAGTAGTAGCATTGTTGGTAGCAGGGATACCCTCTGTCTGGTAAACCAGCATAACTCTTGTAAATCATCAGTTTTTAATCATCTATAATACATGCGTCATTTTTCATAGCTATGTATAGCTATGTATAGCTATGTATAGCTATGTATAGCTATGTATAGCTATGTATAGCTATGTATAGCTATGTTAGTTTATTGGAGGGTAGACAGTCAACAAACTCCTGCAAGACCTCACATCAAATTAGCTGGTTTTTGAC